TTTTTTTTTTTTTTTGTATTTTTGGTAGAGACAGGGTTTCATCATGTTGATTAGGCTGGTCTCAAACTCCTGACCTCAAGTGATCCACCCACCTTGACCTCCAACAGTCCTGGGATTACAGGTGTGAGTCACCGCACCTGGCCGAGGACCAGTATTAATCTGAATGCAGTGTTTAAGCATTGCCTCTCTGACATAATTTCTCACAGTACCCCTTTCATAGCATTTATGAAACAGTATCATTACTGCCTGCTTCTTCTGTCTCCCTTACGGTTAGCAAAAGTAAGCATGACCATGGGTACTGGAGGAGACAAAAAGGCTAACACCGTTTTATTGAGGCTGGCACTGCATAGAAGAGTTGCAAGTTTCTGACTCTTCTGGTGGCATAAAGCTGTGGACCTGTGTGTTCTGTGAGGGCCTTGGATGTGTGTGTGTGTGTGTGTGTGTGGGTGGGTGGGTGTGTGTGCGTGCATAGGAGGTGGATGAGGAAGACATTGTGAAGAGTGGGAGGAGAACAGAGAAGATGAGAGAAGTGGAAAGTGCTTATTCTGCCTGCAGGTTGCTAGAAAGAAAACTAGTTAATACTGATGAATACAGATAATACTGATTAGGTAGATTTCACTATTCCCTATGTTATGAATAAGAGTATATAGCAACATCACTTTGATTTTGAGTTGTTTTCTCCAAACTGGCTTTATTGAGAATGGTATCCTTCATAATGGACGATGCCTCAGATTAGAGGACCCTTTGGAGCATTTCTTCTTCTACCTAGAAGATTGCTTATCCTAGAACAATCCAGATAAAAATATATGTTGGCCAGGCATGGTGGCTCACGCCTGTAATCCCAGCACTTTGGTAGGCTGAGGCGGGTGGATCACTGGAGGTCAGGAGTTCAAGAACAACCTGGCCAACATGGTGAAACCCCATCTCTACTAAAAATACAAAAATTAGCTGGGCGTGTTGGCAGGTACCTGTAATCCCAGCTACTCGGGAGGCTGAGGCATGAGAATCGCTTGAATCTGGGAGGCAGAGATTGCAGTGAGCCAAGATCGCACCATTGCACTGTAGCCTGGGTGACAAGAGCGAAACTCAGTCTCAAAAAAAAAAAAAAAATGATATGTTAACATATATTCAAAAGAAACTTTGAATAGTGCCTGGCACATAATTAGCATTATAAAGGCATGTGCTATTATTGGTATTCCATCCTGGTCATTTATTCATTCACCTGTTGAGTGTGTAGGCCCTGGGTTATTTGCTTTGGAAGCCCAAAGGTGAATCAGACATAGATCCTGCCTTTAAGGAAAGTATATTTCAATCGGACAAAATAAGATAAGCAAATACATAAATATAATACAGTGAAGGAAATGGTTCATGCTCTCAAAAGTCTAGATGGAGCTTTAGGAGTGAGCAGCAAGAAACAGGAGAGGACTTCTGGAGGGGTTGGAGATACAAGCAAGACAGTAAGGAAGGCTTCATGGAGGAGGTGATATCTGTGTTGCATCTTGGAGGATGGGGAAAGTTCAAACATTTGCAGCAGGAGAAAGTGCCTTCCAGGTGAAGTGAATGGTGTGAACAAAGGTAGGAAAGAGTACATTTAGAAAACATAACTAGTTTGCTTTCCTAATTGAAGGCTGTGCATTCACTAGAACGTGTGTTTCGAGTCCTCTCCTCCCGAGTTCCCTTGCCCCATGTTTTTCATTGCTTTATACCCATGAATTAAATTTCAGCAGATCATAATAATCGGGGCAGTTCCTAAATGGGTGTAAGTGGCTTTGTAATTATAGCTGCTGCTAAATGTGTAATCTGTCTGTTCGTATAATTATTAAGGTTTTTATATTTATAAGCTGATTACCTCCTATTCGAAAACTTCTGTAATAGTATGCAAATAGGAGCCGGTCTAGGAACTTACTTTCCCTTGCAGTGTATAAGAAATCACCCAGCATCCTGACCCATGGCAGCTTTGTACCTCTCCAGAGAGTGCCATCGTCGATGGACTCAAAGTAGATTGAGAATGCCTTATATCCTCTCAGCCTTACCCAGAATGGAAACATCACATCTGTCTTTTTGTTTTTTGTCTCACTCTGTCACCTGGACTGGAGTGCAGTGGTGTGATCTCAGCTCATTGCAACTTCCACCTCCTGGGTTCAAGCGATTCTCCTGCCTGAGCCTCCCGAGTAGCTGGAATTACAGGTGCCTGCCACCACACCTGGAAAATTTATGTATTTTTAGTAGAGATGGAGTTTCACCATGTTGGCCAGGCTGGTCTCTAACTCCTGACCTCAAGTGATCCACCTGCCTCAGCCTCCCAAAATGCTGGGACTGCAGCAGTGATGATTAGAGGTATCTTAAGATATCAAGTTCTAAGTTAATAGGGATAGTTTCTTTAGATTGTCTTGCTCTGGAGCAGACTAATTGTGTGTTTTCTTAATAAATGTTAAACTTGAAAAAGTCATCCAACAATGGGAGTTAATACTGAAAATCCATAGCACAAAAAGGTTGCAATAGGGCTTGACATAAACCCAATTGCAAGTAGCTGTAAAGCCCAGAACAATTAGTGACAATGGCATATGTGTTTAATAAATATTTCTTGAATGAACGTGTGAAGTATATTTCTTGAACGAATGCGTGAAATATATTTTCTTTGCAGGAGGACAACTATGGTTAGATCAAACCAAGACTAAGTACAACTCAACATTACAAAATGAGTATCTATAGCTGGGACTTTGAATTTCTCAAAATCTTATTATGAGCTGTATATCATATTTTAAAATAGTGCCTACTCTAGTACATACTATGCTTACCTGCTTTAGTAAAACAATATAATATATATTGTTTTCTGAGACAATTATACTACAGAAAGTCTCTTGTTTAGATCATGAATCCAAGGCCAAGATACTCCTAGCCCCCTAGTGAATGCTTATCTGATCTGAAGATATGGTGTTGAAGAGATAATAGCTGGAATGTTACTCTTTTAAATCAGACCAAATAATGTTTTCCCTGCCCTTCTGCTTTTGAGCCATATAAGCACATAAACAGTGTCTTTAGCATCAGAAATATCTCAAAGAAAGAAAACCCTCTGAAAAAGTATAAAGCATTTTACAAGTGGGATTGCCAATGATTCCGTTTGTGGTAGATCATAAAGGTTCTTTTTCATGTTTTTCTCCTTTGTTTCTGATGTGGCTTATATCTGTAGCTCATAAAAATTCAAAAGCAAGAAATTGATCTTACAAGGTTTGCAAGTCTGCTAAGTGTCTTCAACATTGATGGCAAATGTCTGCAGTGTTTGGTTCTCTGTGTTTGCTCTTTCAGCTCTATGTGGCCACGGAGGCCATCCTCATTGCACTGGTTGGGGCCACGCCATCGTACCACTGGGACCTGGCAGAGCTCCTGCCAAATCAGAGCCACGGTAACCAGTCAGCTGGTGAAGACCAGGCCTTTGGGGACTGGCTCCTGACAGCCAATGGCAGTGAGATCCATAAGCATGTGCATTTCAGCAGCAGCTTCACCTCCATTGCCTCAGAGGTAACAACAGGCTGTTCCAATCACTAAATAAATGTCTCTCTTTGTCCAGATGGAGCTACTCTTTTTGTCTTGCTGATTTAAATATCAGCCATATTTTCAAAGAACTTTCCAGTAAATTTAAAAGTTAAAGGTTTTAATGTATCAAAGGAGAATATTCTATGAGAACACATTCCTTTCCTCTTACTACACATGGGAGAAGCGTGAATCTTTCCAAACTAGTTAGATGAAAAGATACAAGCTCCAAAAGAACCATATATTGATTATGATGTCCTTTTAAAAAGTGAATTAAATCTTTAATCTCTCTTTATTAAATGTGCAAAAATTAACACAGAGAAATGTAACAATTCATATATAGCATCCATAGTTCTTTTTTTTTTTTTTTTGAGACAGAGTCTTGTTTTGTGGCCCAGGCTGAAGTGCAGTGGCACAATCTCGGTTTACTGCAACCTCTGCCTTCTGGGTTCAAGCAATTCTTCTGCCTCAGCTCCCAAGTAGCTGGGATTACAGGCACCCACCACCATGCCTGGCTAATTATTTTTTTGGAGTTTTAGTAGAGATGGGGTTTCACTGTGTTGACCAGGCTGCTCTTGAACTCTTGACCTCAGGTGATCCACCCACCTTGGCCTCCCACAGTGCTGGGATTACAGGCATGAACCACCGTGCCTGGCCCATAGCTCATTTTTAAGTCCAGTCCTGTGTGTAGACCATATGGGGCACCTTGACTGTACAATGTAAAACACAGGTAGTACCACCTAGTGTGGTCAGGAAGCCTTACTTTCAAGGGGTCTTTGCTGGCCAGAGAGACGTTTCTGGTCCTTCTGAGCCAACCAGAGTTAAAGAATCTGAGGGTAGATGGTCTGGTGAAGAGAAACCCTGGGTGGGGGCAGATCTCATGGTCAGCTGGAAGGCACTGGTGTTGGTTGTTAAAAGGTAGAAATACTCCCCTCTGCTTTGCCTGCTCCCGTTAAGCTACCCATGTGTCTGTTGGCATCCTGGCCCCATCCTTGGACCCTATGATCCAGTTAATGGGGTAACTGGTACAACAGGGGGCCTCTGGGACCCTTGCCAGCTCTCAGTTCTGGTTGCCATGCTAGTTAGCTTTCCCAAAATCCATTGACCACTCCTTCCTGGAAGCCACTCTCCTGTGTGTGTGAGTGTGTGAGAGTATGTGTGTGTGTGTCCGCCTGTCTGTATGTCTGCACCATGGCCTAGCCAGCCTTACCTGTTGTTGACTATTTTGATAATCCTGCTTTGGATGAGGCATACTAAAAAAAGGGGAGACATGCCAAGGATGATGTTTTCTTGGCCTTTTTTTAGGAGTCCCCAGTGGAGTGCCCCACTCCTAAAAGTTACGAGACTAACTTTTTGAGTGACCACCAAAGCAGCATTTCTGACTGCAATTCCTGATGTTACTCTTCACTTAGAAACCTCCAGTGATGCTCCCACAGCACACAGAACACATTAGAGACCTTATGAGTTACATTCAGGATCCCTCACACTTCATAGCTTGGTCTAGGTCTACTTTTCCAGCCCCACTCTGCATTTTCCCCCACTGTCACCCCAGTGGAAATATTTACTATTTCCCACACGTGCCCCGAGCTCTCAGCATAACCTGTTACTGTCAGAAAAGCCCTCACCACTTGCCCTGACTTTCACCTGGTGAAATCCTCACCTACCCTCTAAGGCTCACTTTCAGTGTCACCTTCCCTGTGAGTCTTCCCAGCCAACTCCCCAGGAGTAAATATGCTTTTGTTTCTGTTCCAGTACCAATTTATTTTCACTTATGTTACAGACTGTTGTTTGTGGTTCAGCTCTAAGAGTTCTTTGAGGTCAGAAACCATGTTTTGGTCATCTTTGTATCTCCATGGCCTATAGCAGCCACCAGCACCACCACCACCACCACTACCACCACCACCACTACCACCATTGCCACCACTCCTAACCTGTTAAAATAACAAGCAGCTTTGTTTAATGATTATGATATGCCAGAGATTATGATATATGTAAAATTTAATTATCAAAGTAATTCTATGAGATAGGAATCATTTCCCCCATTTTACAGATTAAAAAAATGGAGATCCCTTGAGGTCAGTGTTAGCTAATAATGGCAGAGCTGAGATTTGAAGCTAAATTTGTCTTCACTCAGAAGCCTGTGCTCTTAATTATTGTGCTTTTTAGGAGTGTATCTTATCCAAATTGGCATGTACATTTCTTAGGTTCTTTTTGGTGAGTAATTATAGCCAAATAATTTTTAAAATATTTTTTATTTGGAAATAATTCAAATGAAAGAAATTGTGAGAATAGTGCAAAGAATCCCCTTATCTCTTTTAGTTTCATCTATTGTTACTAGTTTGCCTCATTAGCATTATTATTGTCTGTTTTTTCCTAAGCCATTTGAAAGTTGCATATATTAGTGTTCTTTTATGCCCAGATACTTCAGTGTGTATTTCCTAAAAACAGGATGTTCTCTTCATAACCACACTACAGTTATCAATGTCAAGAAATTCAACATTGATACTATAGTTTTATTTAAACTATACCTAGTTGTATGCCATCCGTACCTAATTTGTTAGTTAACCCAATGACATCCTTGATAGCATTGTATTTTTCCTCTCATATATTGAATCCAATTCAGAATCACATATGACATTTAGTTTTATAGTTCTTTAGTATCTTTTGACCTTCAGCCTTTTTTTTCTTTTATAACACTCATATTATTAAAGCATCTGTACCTCTTCTCTTTTTCAAAATAAGAATGTTCTTCATTTTGGATCTGTCTGATGATTCCTCATTTGGGTTTGTTTTGTATCCCAAGTCAGAATAGTACATAAATAATGTATCCCTCTCAGGGTATCACATCAAAAGACACACTATATCCATCTGCCCTTAGTGGTGATGTTAATTTTGATTAGCCATTCCAGGTATTGTCTGATATTCTCCCCGTCCCTGCCCGTTACTATCTTTTTTTCATTTCCAGGAATAGAGAACTATGGGGAATCACTTTCAGGTTACATAAATTTGCTGTTTCTTATTGGTGCAACCTCTGTCTCCTATGTTCAAGCAATTCTCCTGCCTCACCCTCCCAAGTAGCTGGGATTACAGGCACCTGCCACCGTGCCCTGCTAATTTTTGTCTTTTAATAGAGACAGGGTTTCACCATGTTGGCCAGGCTGGTCTTGAACTCCTGACCTCAGGTGATCTCCCCTCCTTAGCCTCCCAAAGTGCTGGGATTATAGGTGTGAGCTACTGTACCTGGCCCAAAATGGTTATTTCTTAACTCCACCACTTTCATCACATTTACTAGCTTGCGTATTTTCTACTGTAAGCAAGAGCCCTTTCTTCTCCCTTGTCTGTCTCTGTGCCTATTTGCCTATATATTTATCAACCGTATGTATATACTCTTGGATTCCTATTCTTTTCAATGATTTGTAATTTATTACAGCTCTGAATTATTTTGGAACTAAAATTTTTCCTAATTTACCAGTGGAAACCTCTTCAAGCTGCCTCTTGTGTCCTTTTATTTTTAATTAAAATTTTCATTCTGAAATAATTGTGGGTTTACATGCAGTTGCAAGAAATAATACAGAGAAATTTTGTGTACCCTTTACCTAGTTTCCCCCAATGGGGAAGACCATAGTATAATATCATAACTGAAATATTGACACTGACACTGCTAAGACACAAAACATTTCCATCACCACAAGGATCCTTCATGGCCTTTTAGAGCCACACCCACTTTCCTCCCATCCCTTACCCTTTTCTTAATCACTAGTAACCACTAATCTGCCCTCTTATACTATGAGTTTTTCATTTTAAGGATATTGTAAAAATGGAATCGTGTTGTAGAAGCCTTTTGAAATTGGCTTTTTTAATTCAGCATAATTATCTGCAGATTCATCCAGGCTTAGTTTTATTACTGTGGTTATATAAGCAGATTTGGAATGGGATAGATTGCCGCTTTATCTTGGTCAAAAAGTATTTTCATTATTTCAGTTCCTTTGCCTTTCCGTATAAATTTTAGAATAATTTTGTCTATATCTACCAACAAATATTTTTGAGATTTCGATAGAAGTTGTGTTAAACCTGCATATAAATTTGGGGAGAATCAATGTCTTTACTATGCTGAGTCTTCCAATACATCAATACTATGTGTTATTTTGAGTGTCTTTGATTTCTTTCATCAATGTTTCATATCTTTAGTATGCAAACCGTGAACATGTTTTAATAGATTCACATCTAAATATTTCTTTTTCTTTTTTTTGAGGGATTGTAAATGGTATTGTATTTTAAATTTCTGTTTCTACATGTTTATTATTAGTATAGATAAATATTATACAATTAATTTTTGTATGTTAATCTTGTATCCTTTGATCTTAATCTTGTGTTATTTCTTTTTGGGAAATTTTTAAATTATGAATTTAATTTCTTTAATAGTTATAGGGTGATTCAAATGATATATTTTGTATTGTATGAGTTGTGTACTTTGTGCTTTTCAAGGAGTTAGTCCATTTCATCTAAGTTGTTACTTATTAACTCGAGGTGCTTTTTGAAGATTCTTTGGGATTTTCTTGACAGTCATATAAAAAGTAAGGACAGTTTTATTTTTTTTCTATTTCCAATCTGTATACCTTTTGTTTCCTTATTGCTCTGGCTAGAATGTCTAGCACTGTGTTGAATAAAATGGTAGGAATGGACATCCTTGCCTTGATTCTGGTCTTAGGAGGGATGCACTCAATCTTTCACCATTAAGTGCAGTGTTAGCTATAGGTTTTTATAGATGCTCTTTATCAAATCAAGGAAGCTTCCCATAATTCCAATATCTTTTATGCCAATACCATGCTGTTTTGGTTACTATAGCTCTGTAGCATAATTTGAATTCAAATAATGTGATTGCTCCAGGTTTTTTTTTTGTTGTTGTTGTTGCTCAGGATGGCTTTGGCTATTTTGGGTCTTTGGTGATTCCATATAAATTTTAGAATGATTTTTTTCTCTTTCTGTGG